TTTTGGTTTCCATTGAAATGTTATGAAAACAATACACATGAATGTTTGAATAAATCCGTACCACCTAAAGACTTGTTTGTGTATGAAAGGCACAATTGAGAAGAGATGCATCATTAAAGTGTGTACTGTAGTCTGTTTCCTTTTAAATGTTTAAACCTACATTTAAAACCATGGACAGTAAATAGGGATAATAATAATGACTCAAACCACATTGAATATTTGTAATTGCATGGGGGACCCTTTTTCTCAAATGGTGGCTATGGGGTAAACTGATGCCTGCCTGACGTAAGTTGATCCAGAGGTTCACCTTGCTCCACTGAATAATGTGAATTAATATTACAGTAATATTATTACAACAATAGGAGGCAACCTAAAGACAAGTGCCTTGAGCTGTGCCGTCTTTCTCATCTGGGGACACCTGTTTAAGATAAATTATAAAATCACACAATTTAATGTATAAATATGCAAAATATGGATGCAAGTATTTGTTATAGTTCTGGCTCATTTTCCCATTTTTGAAAACATTTTAATGTCTTTCTTCCTGTAGCTGTGGGGAGTGTTCCTCTTTACTGAATCACCACTAGATGGCAGTCATTGTCTTTTGACTGACCAGGCCCACTGAGTTTACACAGCGCAGGGCCTGTGGGTGACATTAGCCCAACACATGCGTGTGTCAGTGTGGTTTGTTCAGTCTTTACTTGAAGATATCCTCACTGATCTTGATCCCAGGATAAAGCAGGACACTGTGTGTCTCAACATGCAGCTGTTTGTGAGGGTCACTCGGTTCACAACACAGCAGTCAGACACAATTTCACCCCTACCCCAAGGGCACAGCCACAACCACCACACCACTGGATGCAGAATATACATTCAAAGAGTGTTTTTCTCTGCTTCCTCATTGTTTACTGTACTCCCTGTGCACAGGAAATCACAATCATAAGGCGTTGGCATTTCAGAGGTAAAGTGTAGAGGAAGGGTGCTGCCAGGATGCATGTTACTGTCAAACAGATGTTTAGTGACAAATGAAATACATTTGTTTTAATAGTATAAGATAGCGCCTATGATACCACAAACAATAACAGCTATGTTATTTTTAACATGTATGCACAGGTATATGATTTCTTACATGTGTGTATAGAATATGTTGTAATGGCCCTTTGTGGAAACTGACTAAATCCACAATAATACCATCTTTTCATAAACAAATGGTAGGACTGGTTTAAAATAAAAAGCTCATGTTCACTGTCCTTCAACAGAGCTTACAGCCACGCAGGGGGCTCCAACAATGCCCCAATCACCGTATAACCCCCNNCCCCCCCCCCCCCCCACTTTAGGCCAGTGTCCTCCACGCAAATTCATAATGCCATCAGCCCGTGTGTATGAAAGCTTTTAATCACATGCAGACCTATTGAATCCTCCTCACAGGTGAATGAGAGGCTGAATAGATGGTTGTGGCGGCCCCTCGAGGCTGGGCGTATCGCACTGTGCTTTTGTTGCATTTGTTGTCATTAGACCTAAACTGAAGGGCAGGTGGGTTTTGTTGATACACTGCTCATACATGCTCAATGATGCTCATCCGCTGTTTGCACATCCCATATTGATCTGTTTTTTAAAGGCTAGCCAGACTCCTTTTGACGACCCAGGTGTTGCGTGACCCTAAGGAATCTACTGTATGAGGTTCTAACTTCAACCTCAGCTCCACTTCACATCACATAGCTCTCTCTCCTCCCCCCATGTGAAATTCAGCTACGTGGTGAGCTTCTTCACTCCTCTCTGTCATGGCCTGTAAACCTTTATTGCTGTTTAAGGAGAGGGCTGTCCATTGGAGGGTCTAGGTAAATAACTTGAACTTCAGCATGCTGGCACAAGCCGTGCAACGGCTGCGTCTGGTAGTTTTTTTCTACGTGTCCTCAGGCAATTACGAGAAGACAAATAGAGTGTAAATACAGTGCTATCATGTGGGCAGGCAGGGTGTTGTGTGTTATGTGTTTACATGAGCACACAGACACACACTCATCTGTGCTACGATCACTCCTGATCTCCTGTCAGTGGAGGCCTTTTCTGTCCATCAGCTCTTTGTTTTGCCAGTTTGTATGAACTATGTTTCTTTCTCCGGGGCACTCCTCCTACTCCACCTCCGTCCCTGCGTTCCTAAGCTGGCAATGAGCATGGACAGAGAGGGGCTGACACACACACTACACACACACACAGACACATTAGGGGTAAAGCGGAATCTTTCGCAATAAAATCTGGCTTGATCCATTTGTCTAAGGCTAGGTCAGCTTTCATTTGCTGAAATTTGACCCTATTTGTGCTGCTGACAGAGATACAGACAGAGGTTGAGACAGCTGCTGAGGCCGGCTGGTCCACTGAGAAGACCCTCTGTCCAGCCAGGCCACGCCTCGCCTCTACTCGTGCACAGAGAACTATTGTCTTCAGCGCTGCTTCCACTATTCTGATGTCATGGTTTGTCCTTCCCCAGAGAGCGGCTGTTGCTGTTGTGGTATAACTTGACGGACCCTTTAGCCCGCAAGTCAAAGGCACCACGACTGCATGGATGCATGGCCAGATAGTCGCCAAGTATTGCATGTACACAAAAACCAGTCCTTTGTGCTCACCTTTTTTACTTATCCTTTACTGGTTTGAATCTCATTTGCTTGTCATTTGCATGGCAGTTGATGCTTTTCTTATGTGACTCCTGAAGTTGGCAGCTCATATGCAAATCTTTCTGCATCGTTCAGCCCCACCTGTGTGTGCTTTGCTCATCAGTGAGGTAAAGATAAAGATTCTTGGATTCCCTTCTCAGCCTGTCATGCCTCCAGGGTATTTGTTACAAGATAAGCATAACCAGCTACAGACAAGCCTTTCACTTACAGTATGAGGCAACAAGCCCAGTCAGACAGTGTTAGTCTGTAAGGGCATTAGTAGCCATGCTAGTGTCATGGCTCTATGGATGGCAATATCTCAGCAACTATTGGATCAATAGACATTCATTGTCCCCAGAATATGAATCCTACTGATTTTGTTAAACCCCTGACTTTTGCTCTAGTGCCACTATCAGTTTGTCATTTTTCCCACATGCCATGAAATGGTGATCCTCTGACTTTTCATCTTGTGCCACCAGAGTTTCACTTATCTTGTGAGTTTTACATGGTTCCCAGATGACGTAGCCTAATTAGTGATCCTCTGACTTTACCTCTAGCACCACCCTGAGGTTGACATTTTCTAGATGTTCATGTTCCCCTCAGGATCCAACCTAACGAGTTTGGTAATCCAATGCCTTCTCCTCTTGCACCATCATCAGGTCTGTACCTTTATGTTTAGTGCTCATTATCAAATGTTAGCATGCTAAGATGCTATGGTGACCATGGTTGAAATTACAGCTCCTAAATATCAATGTTAAAGCACCACTGTGCATAAGTACAGCCTCACAGAGCTGCTAGCATGGCGGTAGACTCTCTCGCTGTTATCTAAGAAGAGCCTGTGGTCGGGAATATAAGTGATTGTGTTCATGGTATTTAGAGGTGAAAACTGATAACATCTGGTGAGATCAGGATTAGGGGACTGACGATGAGCATGATGTTCGACCTACAGCTCATGAGTCGATAAAATTCAGAAAGGCAGTCCTCAGCCAATATTTGCTTAGGGCTTTATAAGTCTTGAGTCAGTCATTTTTGAAGGCTCAAGTCATGCCAAGTCTATGACCAGCCCTCATCCAAATGTCTGTTCTTCACCTCTGCCTCAGTAGTAAAGTCTCCTGAGAGCTGGCTCAGTGCGGCTATTGTTTGACTATACTTTGTTAGAATCACCAGGCAATAGGTAAGATAAGACAGAGAGGGAGGGATAAGAGTGCACCATGTTAAAGTGCTGTTGGCAGTAAATTTAGACAGCAGAGGTCAAAACTCTTGAGAAATATGCTTCCCTTTGGAGATAAGGCCAGATAGCAGAGGTATGTAGAGGGGACCTATAATAGGACTATGTTTGGATATATATGCACATATATCGTTAAATGCAACAGCGCCTGCCACCTCAGCCCCTCAATATAGTTGGTGAACTGGAGCGGTGTGACTGGAAGAAACCAATCCAGTGGTTGTGAGACATCACCACCAGGCTCTTCCACATTAGGCTGGATGGATAACATGGCCCTTTCTCTGGGACTTCCTCCGAGCGGTAGGGTGGTGGGGCAGAGAGAGGACATCACTGGCACTGTGGATAATAGTCATTGAGGAGCGAAGGAGACACAATGAAAAACACTTCTCTCACCACCCACCACTTCTCTGTCATCCTCCCTCCATCCTCTCCCCATCTCTTTCGTTTCCTCTGCTCTGTTATTATCACCCAGATCATTATCAGGCTCACTCTCCCCTCGCTGCGATGGAGAGGAGGGTTTGCCGCCCACATGGCTTTGGTGAGAGATTTCTAACAGCGGCAGCACAAGAGGAGGGGGGGAGAAAAACGAAGACAAGAGGCCCAATAAAGTCCATCTAAATATAGAGGCAGCAAGGCCTTTTTTCCCTTGTCCTTATAAAGAGCTGCTGGTGAATCCGGGGGGACTACCTTCTTCACTGTACTGAGAGCTGATCACTCCCTCCAGGATCGGGAACATAACTGTTGGTGCATGGAAACACACACTCGTGCACACAAACACACAGGGCTACGTTGTTTTATGAGAGAGAGAGAGAGAGAGAGAGAGAGAGGACAGGGAGCTTAGTGATTTTTTTTCTTCACACGAGAGGGCAAATCATGTTTGGTGGAACATACTAAAATAGGAGAGGTTTGAGGAAACTCCAAAAAGAAATGATGGGAGAAATGAGTGATGGGGGGAGGTGAAGGAGATTAGGAAAGATGATACAGATGAATTTATGGCCAAAAATATCTCGAAGGATGGATTATACATTCAAATTTATATCAACATAGCTTCCATCCAGAGATGCCCCTTTTTGGCTCTTTTACGTCTCCT